TCCTCTCTCCTCCTGCATTGTTAAGTCTCGCGTGGTGTAATCACTTACGAGACTACGTCTGCCATTTTTCTCTTTTTTCTCTCTCGTCGTCGTCCTACACACACACTCCCCTCACCACGTGATTGTTTGTTGCTTTTAGGTAGTATGCTTGTAATTGTATAATAGATGTGTTGTGATAATAGCTGGTTCTTATAGTCAGTGCTCCAGTGGCGGGCCGTGCATTTCATACCTGGGCCTTCTGTGCTGTCCTACTACAGTTGAACCACCTCCTAATAACCTCATTATGACGCCACAGCTACGGTTATTTGTTTCTAGGGGTGTAACAACACACATATTTGTATTAAACCGTTTGGTACGAGGCTTATACGAACCGAACTATACGTTTGAATAATACTAGTGTGAGACAAATGTGCCTTAAAGCACTCCTAGCGATGATCACCGTGTTACAATGATTACTTGTTGAACCTGTTGTTGACCATTGGACAGCTAACTGGGGAACACCAGTCTGTTGGGTGGGATGCGATAGACCTCTATCTCATGATAGATATATTTTTCTGTACATCATAGTGTGATTCAATTTGCTACACTGTTTTTGCTTTTGATAAAATAAATATCTTTTGATTACAAATTTGAACCATCTATTCGACTATTTTGTTGATGGACCTCAAGCCAGAGGGGACTCTCTTCGGAGAAAGTCCGGACACGACACGAGTGCATTTGGAAAATGTAGAAGCTTAAATTGTGGGAAATATGTTTTCGGTGGACTGCGCTCACGTAGGAGACAACGTAGGATCGACGATGTTTCCCTGTCAAATCTTTAATGTAAAGATGCCGGCCATATTACCCCAACATTTTTTTTGTTGGTACTGTTTGCATTCCTTCTGATGCAAATTCAAAATATCCAAAGGAATGTACTGCTGTTTTAGTTTTGTTGTTTGCCTTGTTTTTTACTTGTGTTGCTTATGGGCTACAAGGGTTGTAATGGTAATTGTTTGCCTCGTATATATTTCTACTTACGTAGTATATATATATTTCTACTCATTATATTGTATTGATGCATAAGTAATTTTGCTCTGAACTTTGTTGAACTTCACCGTTTGTTTTTCATTGTTGTTCCTGTCAGTCTCAGACCAAATGTCTGTAACTTTGGCCATCGGCCCCCATCTTTGCTCATTCTGTATAAAGAAAGCTTGTTCACTTTTTCTTGGTTCTTCCTCACCGAGACTGTACGCATTCTGTTGTGATGATTGAACCTTCTCTGCGCAGAGAATAAATACTTAAAAGACAACCTGGTTTTTGGTATTATGTATTTCAGCATGAAAAGACTCACGCAAAGCGGGTATAGGAATATTTTCCACAACAGGGTTTCACAACAGAATGACTTATCCTTGAACCTTGATCAAGTTTATGTTACTGTCCTTTGACCTCTCACCTCAAGATATGTGAATAAAAATGGGTTCTATGGATACCCAAGAGTCACCCCTTGTACAGATACGTATGTCCACATGTCCAGCCACATGCACTCGGCTGGCTTAGTTCCTACCAACAGATCACATTTCAGATCCCCTCGCAACCACTCCTCTGACACATCCACAGTCACACAAGGTGTTCCCCAAGGTTCCGTACTCAGCCCAGTATCCGCCATTTTGAACTGCTATGCCGATGACACCCATCGCCCACATCGACTCCTGCCTGTCTGCAATAAAGCCTGGATAGAACAACATTTTCTCAAACTCAAAAGTGACAAAACTGAACTCATCGGCTCCAAGCCCACCCTCAGTAAAATCAAAATCTCCCATGACCCTCATATTTGCCAATTTGTCAAATCCTCCCTCTAAAACCTTCGCAATATTGCTAAGATCTTTTATTTTATTTAGTATGTCTGTTACAACCCGGCTCAAAGGCTGCAACAGAAATGGGACACCAGACGAGTGTAAAAATAGTAAATAAACATTTATTTAAAGGATAACATTTACTAAACTAAACAAACATGGAGAGTCAGTTGTAAATGCCAATGTTAACCAAATGAACTAGTGAAATATCCAGATGATGGTACGTGCTAATCCTTTTGTTAGACTGTCCCTTAGTGCGAGCCATCAACAAATCGGTGTCCCATCAACTCCTCCTGTATTCCCCTGAGCACTCTGTTCAAACGATTGTGCAATTACACACTTTTCCCAACTATGATACAAACTCATCCCTGACACACTTTAGCGACATGACGAGGCGAGTGTGTAAAGATTTTGTTTCCTTCACAGGCTTGGTGTTCTCACCACACACAAACAGCCCATCAACACGTTCCTATGCTAGGGGTTAATAATGTCCTTAATTAAAATCGTCATGAAATGTTATTGACTCATGTTCTCACTTCTAGTGGGGAATATATACTATTGTAGTGATCTAATGTAATGATCAAGGGGAGGATTGTAATGGTAATTTTTTACGTAGTATATATTTCTACTCAGTATATTGTATGCATGCATAAGTAACTTCACCGTGTCTCTGTTGTGCAGAAGAAGAGTTCTCCCTTGCCTGTTCACAGAGATAACTAACTGTGTTTTATGAGAATGTTCCACCACCAAGGCCTTTGGGCTGCTTGTTTTGGTTGCTGACCGTTTGTTTTTGAATGTTGTTCCTATCAGTCTGAGACCAAAAGTCTGAGACTGAAATGTCTGTAACATTGGCCATCGGCCCCCATCTTTGCTCATTCTGTATAAAGAAAGCTTGTTCACTTTTTTCTTGGTTCTTCCTCACCGAGACTGTACGCTTTCTGTTGTGATGATTGAACCTTCTCTGCGCAGAGAATAACTACTTAAAAGACAACCTGGTTTTTGGTATAATGTATTTCAGCATGAAAAGACTCACGCAAAGCGGGTATAGGAATTTTTTCCACCACACAGTAATCAGTAGGGTCGGCATGTGTGGATGTGTGGCAATGTCTGACATAAACTAAACAAGACATCAGCCGTGTCAGCAAAGAAATGTTCAGCGTGAGAGGCTTTAACCATAGGACCCGAGAGCCCCCCACGGGGGGCTGTTTTAGAGTGTGCAGCATTCAGCGTGTCGTAGAAAGCATTTTTCATAAAGAAATATGATTATTGCTCTAGACATATTAAATATCGAATTAACGGGAAAAGTCCGAGCAACATCATCATACCAGCCATTGTAAACACTGCAAACACAATTATACATGAACCAATATCATATCTGGAAGATATCTAGAAGATTTGCCACAATTTTGGCCAAAAATCAACGACCTATGCTCACTCTATGGCTCTCTCATCACGGAGTAGGATCGCACATGGCGGATGAACACATGCAGGAGGGGCACGATTCGACCCGGAAACGCACAGCGGCGTCCAAATTACTCTCTTTCAAACAGTTCAAACGTTATGGGTATGCATGCCAACATCAGCCGCAGGTCACGAGAAAAAGAATTGTGTAAAAAAACTTACGTTTTGGCGATGAAAAACGGATTTATTCGAGCCGATTTTTTGCACAGCTCTGCCCGCCATGTTCTGCTGCATGTCTGTGAGTGAGATCAATGCGCTGGAGGAATGAATCACAAAATGGCAGACGATTCTGTGGGGTGGAGCAATCCATGTAGAGAGGGGGGTTCGCCCAGCATTTTGTGATTTTTAGTCAGTAAACAGACCCGGATACGATCAAACACCCCTGCATGCCTCCCGTTGGACTATCCCGCATCTAAAAATGTCTCACACAAGTAAATCGGCCTTACCAGGGTCACATAGACACACATTATGAGCCATTTATTGTTATGAATGACAGATATGACGCATCATAACTTCTCAAAATTATTCAAAATGGTGTCAAACTGATTTATTAGGATTATTGAACACTCTTAGTGATAAGAAAAGTGAATATATAGTTAATATTTAGTTATATAGTATATAAAATTAGTATACAGCAATGCAACAGCTGGTTCCAAAATCAAAATTTTGATTTTTATGACCATTTATGCTGGCCTGCTTCACTCAATCGAAGTAAAATATGTTGTGGGGACATGTAAAACGTGTTCTATGACTGTGGCGTGGTTTTAGGCTTGCAGCTGCATTATTTAAAAAAAAAAAAAATGTTCAATACAAGTGCTTTTTTTCAGGTGAATCTAGAAATGTTTCAATTTGAGCTGTGCCATAAGTGTATCAGTTATTAACCAGTAACATATACACAATATTTACACAATTCAACACATCTCACAAGTGATACCAGTATTCTGGCATCAAAATTATTAAAATAGACCTTGTAGTTAGAGCTCGGGACTCTCTTGAGTATGGGTATGCAATTTTCGAGCAGAGGCCTAAAAATAGGGCTAGGGTCCTATGAGTTTTAAAGAACCACACCAGGCTCAGGTGTGGTTCATTAGCTGACGATCAACATCCTGATAGACACATTCTGAGAGAGACAGCAAATGGGACACAGATCCGGAAGGGAGGGGTCGTAACAATGTCCTTGATTTTTGTATTTGGAAAGCTGAAATTTACAAAAAAGACTGGAATAATCTGGCTTCACTATTAGACATTTTAATTATGGTGTTATTTAGCCAGACTTCATAAAGCCAATGCATAAATACTGTATATATTGGTGTTTCTAATTAGTATAACCAGCAAAATACAGTATATACAATATTTACTAATACTGGCATCTTTTTTGCTCCAATAATATGGTTCTCTTTGATTGTTATTTATGGGGTTTTCCTGGGGTTGCCAAATTATTTTAATGCCATCTGTGACCTGTGTATACATACGGCAAGGGTAAGATTAACACACTTTTATGTGATGTGTGTGTGTGTGTGTGTGTGTGTGTGTGTGTGTGTGTGTGTGTGTGTAGACGCACTGCTTCAGTAACTACTTGTCAATCAATTCTTGTATTGGCCAAGAGCCTCGTTCCCATTGGCTGGCCTAGTGGGGGTTTGTGAGGTGGGGGTGGTTAGTGGCAAGATAAAAGGAGCAAATGTCTCTTGTCCAGCTTACACACACGAACACACTCACCACGTGCCTGTCTCTCTGTCCGTTTATTTAACGCTAAACAAGCGGAAAAGATCCACCATCCGAAGCTCTCACTTTAAATGTAAGTATGCGCACACACACATGCACATACATGCAAACATGTCTAATCCTATTTGAGATAAGGCTAAGGATAAGGGCTCTGCTTCTCCACAAGGGAAAGAGACATGCAGGGTTAAACACTTGTTGAATGAATGGCAAGGCACTGGCGCAGAACAAGGGGCAATGCTCATGTGTTATGCCAGTATATTGTCAAGGGATATGTTTAAAGCTTTTTGCTAATGATTGATTGTTGTAGGACTACAACTGGTTTATTCTTCAATGCATGGCATGTTCCTGGTTTGCAGATAACAAACAGGCTCAAAAACGGTACTGAGTCTTTACCTTATTTATGAAGTTGTAGGTCGATGTGATCAAGGACACCTTGATGAGGCTTTTAATCAGGTTTATTAAACTGCCCTTTGGCAGATTGTATTATGCGAGAATGAGTTTATTACAATCTATACAAATAGATTTGTTTTAGATGTGGAAATGCTTTTTCCTGCCAAGCTTTTCTGTTCGTGTCAGTCCATAAAATGAAAGAAAACTAAGCTATGATCAGACTGGCTTAATGTATTGTTAAGAGGGTCAAGGGTTCTTACATACATCTAAATTGTGCAAGCTTATACAAAGTGTGTCAAGGAGCATGGCTTAGGCTTTGTGCGTGTCCGTGCTGCTTTTCTGTAAATGAAAACATTATAATAATCATTATTTTCTAAAAAGAATTCTAGCAAGCCATATTAATGTGACTAACTGATCAATATGTAACCAACCATTTTAAATGTGTCCTAAGAGTGGAATTAGATCATACGAGACACTAAATAGTATATCTAGATGAAACTGTTTTGGAAACAGCAACCTCTCAACTGTTTTTAGTAGACTTTTTGTTCTTTCGTTGAACTTGTTGATAGTGTATGGTTTTCATGGGATTCCAACAAATATGTGGTTTTTCACACACATTGATATTGATATTGAAATTGATTGCAACTTTCAAAAACAGTATGTCCTTATCCCTTATTACCTATAAATCAGTAATAATTGGGAATGATATTAACCCAATTAACTTGCCCATGATCCTTTGGCTCTTATTGAAGGCACAATTCACCCCAAAATCAAAACTACATATTTTTCCTTATCCTCATCTAGATTGTGTGTAAATTGCCTGGTTTTGGGACATGAAACTGCTTACAACAGGGTCTATGGATCATGATTTCTAAAAAGAGACATCGCTGTTGAGTTTTTTGTGTGTATTTTTGCCACTTTGAGCACCACAAGCCGAATGCCATATAGTACCAATACATTCAAGAGAAGGCAGACATCTCTACAGCCAATATCTCTCACCAAACAACCTAGTTCGATGACTAGCACTACATGAAAATCTCTGTGATGTTTATTTTATTTTTTTAATTAAAAAAAAAAAAAGAATAATAATAAAGATAAGTTAGAGTAATAAATACAGCTGAAACAGAACAAGAAAATCTCTGTGTAATGTGTATTTGGTACACATTACATTTAAACCTCCAACCATGGCATCCGTCTCACCTCAGCTGACTGAGCTTATATGTTATCAAACAAGCAGGAGGTCATCATAAAAGTGGTTAGTTATTCAACTCATTCCTACCAGTAAGATCAAAGGTTACTCTTTTGACTATGTGGTAAAATGAATTACAATCTTAAAGAAAAGTCACATCCAACCCGTGAGAAATGATTTCTTCTGTGCTGTATTCCAGTGGTACCATGGATGCAGCAGAGTTTCGGCGCAGAGGGAAGGAGATGGTGGACTATGTGGCCGACTACCTGGAGAACATCGAACAGCGTCCGGTCTACCCAGATGTGGAACCGGGGTACCTTCGTTCCTTGATCCCCACTGAGGCCCCACTGGAGCCTGAAAATTATGATGACATTATCAAAGATGTGGAGAGGGTCATAATGCCAGGGGTGAGGTTATACTTTTGTTGATGCACACATTGGCATTGTAGTTGCACGGATTCTCTTGTGTTTTTCTGCAGTGTAATTCAGATTAGTCAGCCACTCAATTTGGAAAGTGATACTGGTGTTGAGAAGATAGCTTTCCTTTTGTGGAATCATGTGCCACAATAAATTTAAAAGTGTAATCAAGTAATCTGACTCCAACAAACTGCTTCAGTGTCTTCTCTTATCAGAAAAAGAATAGTGGCATCAGTGTTGGGGCGTTCTGTCCATATGTTCAACTCACTTAAGTAATTTGCTATAACACAAATATAGCAAAGATGTTCTCAAATCCCATGATGCAAGCAGCTTTTTAACCCAGCAGCAGTTGATTTTTGTGTATTTCATAGCATAGCTTAGATGAAATGAAATAGAATCATCAGACTATTAGTAATACATTTAAGATTGTTAAAATTAAAGTTTTTGAATTCATTTTACATTTTTTTTTATTAATGCGAATGTATGCTTTACTAGTTATTTTGTTAGAACAGTCATCCTGTAAACGTATTCATCTGAGGGATATTTTTCCCAATGCTGCATAACACATTTTATATACTCACCTCATGTCCTTTAAAACAATTAGTGGAACTATTACAAAGGAGGTCAAGTGTTTCTGGCAACATGGTGGTTCACTGGTGAGTTAACAACTTAATGCATTGTAGTAGCACAATTGTTTTGGACTGCGGTCTGAGACAAGGACGGAGACAAGCGGAATCGAGTGCCATGGCTCGCAGTGTGTGTGTGTTTGAGAGAGAGACACTGGTAAGCCACCTCTACCGAGAGTGAGGAGCGTTGTTCCCTGTGACAAAAACTGTAATATATGACAATCATTTTGGCAACCACTTGCTCCCGATGACGATCTAAGGTTGGTCTTGTTCTCATATGAATTAAGTATTTGCATGTTTTATCTTTTTTCCAGGTCACCCACTGGCACAGTCCAAACTTCTTTGCCTACTTTCCAGCTGCTAGCTCTTACCCTGCCATGCTGGCCGACATGCTATGTGGAGCCATTGGATGTATTGGATTCTCCTGGGTAACAAGCACTTTGCCGTGTCTCTGTATCTGACACTGTATTTATTACATGTAGTTCATATTTATATATGTGTATGTGTTTTCAGGCTGCCAGCCCAGCCTGTACAGAGTTGGAGACGGTGATGTTAGATTGGCTGGGGAAGATGCTGAAGCTGCCTGAGCATTTTATAGCCGGGACTCATGGCCACGGAGGAGGTGTCATCCAGGTACGTTTCTTTTGTGTGATTTTATGCCACCCTGCACAAATGTTCTCTGGCAGTCAAACTAGTAAAACCAACCCTGCCAACATTTATACTCTTCTGTGTTTTTTTTTAACATGTGTTAAGTGAAAGGCTCACATTTTATAAGCTTACAGGAACCATGACTCACAACTGAGTGCCCCCTGAAAACACATTCATCAGCAATTTGTGTACTATTGATTTGTCGTCTTTTCCTCTCACCGGTTCACACCGGCTGAAAATTGGCAGGAAATTGCCTTTTCAATATGTCATCCACAGGCAGACAGAGATGATGGTGCTGGGATTGTTTCGTGTGGCAAAGGGCCAAGCATTAGTTTAGTGTTCCATTGACTGAAACGCAGCAGCAGAGGAGGCTAGCTATATATAGGTGTGTGCGTGTTTATGGGACGGTGGAGCATGAGAGTGCACTCTGATGACAGATCATTTCATGCCTCTTTTATTGTGACCACCTGAGTGTGAGGGCGGGTTTGTGTGTGTGTGTGTGTGTGTGCGCAATCATCTGGCTCATTGTGTTTTTGTTTTGTCTTGCCACTCTTCCTTTTTAAGTGCAGCCTACCAGCTCACTATGGCAACGAATGGGGCTGTTCTCGCTGCAGCAGGGCTAATGAGTGTTGTGACAGCACGTTGCAAGACTATTATCATAAACCTTATATCAAAAAGACCCTTCTAGTGACCTTGGATTTCCCTTTATAGCCATGTGTGAGTCATTAAGACTTAGGAGGCAAACAAGACAGTTTGCCTATTATTACAATTAATTAGAAATGACAAAAGCTTGCAGAGTTAACTAAAACATCAGAAAAAAAGAATATGATATTGTGTAATCATTCTACAGTTGCTACTGCATGAAAATGTTAAAGAGACAAACTTGTAGTTTTAATGCATGCATCATCTTGAGCAGTGGCTCATCACCCCTTATTCTTAAGTGCAATTGCACAGTTTTTCTTTTCAGATAGGAACATTTGCAACAGGTTTCCAAGGCTTATTGTGGTAAAAAGTCAGCTTAGTTACATTTGAAACAGAACTTAAATAAAGGCTACCAGGTTCAGAATCTGTGAGTAAGCAGGGGGAGGACGGGAAGTACACTTGCGTACGTTTAGAAGCTTGAGGTTTGCCATTTTAGTTTGTTTTTTGAGCAGCTAAAGCGATGTTCATCACAGTAATTTGATGGATAGGTTGATTGATGGAACCATTCCCTGGGTCCCTAACCTCTTAAAAATCATCTGCATTTGTTATTACATATCCATATTAGCCTGCTTGTCTGGTGATTTTGGTGATTTGTGCGTACTGATTGAATGATTCGAACATTTTATTGATTTTCTTGTGGTAATACCCCAGATACCTCAGAAGTCAGGCTTCACAGGATGTGGAGGTGTCGCTACTTCCCGTCAGAAGGGATATCAGCTTTGTGAGTTTGCGAAAGGTTTGGGTGTAATTATATGCATCAATAGAAATTGAAGAGGATTTATTATACGCACATCATATAGGTGCAAGGCTATCAGAACAGCGTCAATAAAGAAGACGCCTGCATATTACTCCATGCCACAAAGTTCTTTTAATGAATACGTTTCAATCCTACTTGGATCTTTGTGTTGTCAGAATGTTTAAAAAGTGGAAACCACACCCATATTTATACATCGTGCTCAACAACAGGCAATCATATTGAGCCCCATAAGGGTCAAGGCAAGATTTTTAATTTTTTTTATTAGGACTTTCTTTGCATTCCCTCGCAATATGTTTAGCATTCTCTTGCAATTATTTTTGCGTTCTTTCACAATAAATTGTGTTACTTTGCAATACTTTTCTTCTTCCATTCCTTCTCAGCCATATGTCTCGATCCGCTCCGCTGCTCCCAGTGTAACGGCACAATAATAAGATGCAACAACCCATACGTTGTATCAAATTAGACCAAAAGTATGGTTATGTAAATACAGGTAACATTTAAGTTTGGTTTAAAGTCACAACAGTGGAGATGCAGTACTTTACAAGTTCCCTCTAATTCTCCAACAGAGCACAGCCAGTGAGGCAACCCTGATGTCCTTGCTCGCTGCCCGCTGTAAAGCAGTCAGATGGGTTCAGGCCACCAACCCTGAAATATCAGAGGCTGAAATCATGTCCAAACTGGTGGGGTACACCTCTGATCAAGTAAGCACAAAAATATATGTCCAATATCGCTTATGTCATGGTTAATGCAAACCCTAAGCTTACTCTGATTCCTGTAATTTGACCCACGTTTCTGACTTTACTCAGAGGTTTTTAACACTTACTCAGATATTTGTAAATCATTTTGTTTACAAATGCATTTATCAAAGTTTTCATTAAACCTTACTGTTTTGCCAAGGTACCTCAGCCAGGTTTATATAAGTTTCACTTTACAGACTCTGCAAATATGTTGACTTCTGTAAATATTCTCAGTTGTCCATGTGAACTAAGATCATTAAAGGTTACTTCAGTAACAGTAACATAGTTTTTCAGTGATTTAGTGGGACAGAGAGTCAGCCAGGCTGGAGCTAGCTCTGGTCAGGTTTAATACCGTGCTGACTCTGTGATTGGGTTAGGAAGTCGCCCGAGGGCCACACAGACCTTTATAGGGAGAGCAGTTTGTTGTGTTTCTACTGAAGAACACCATTCAAATCGAATCACCGGGTGCACATGTCTTATGTGTGTATTTCATTCTGCTTAGTAATCTATTGAAGATGATCAGGGATATATCATTGAAGCTCTGATGTTGATAAGGTGCAGGCTTATCTCCAGAAAAAATGTCACCATATAAGATCATTCATTAGCCATGAATAAGAAATAAACTGTTCAGGTTTATCTTCTAACCAAAAGCAGGAGGCGATTCACCCCTGTGATCAAACAACCTGCTTGTGTTGCATTTTTTTACAAATGTTTCATATCTTTCCAAAGGCTCATTCCTCAGTGGAGCGTGCTTCTCTGATTGGAGGAATAATGATGAGAAAGGTTCCCACAGATAACGCCTATGCTGCCGGAGGGCGCATGCTCAAGAAGATGGTGGAGGAGGACAAAGCGGCTGGACTCATCCCTTTCTACGTAAGAAAAGACAAAAATCTGCATCCATCTAGCCAACTATCACAAAGACAGACACAAAAAGCAACTCCATCTCCAACATTACTTATCGTTCATTTTCATATTGAGTTACATTCGTCGCCCATTGGATTCTTTTGGTACACATGGAAATATTACAACCACTTACACAACTGCTCACTCTAATACAATGATACAATGCGTGTGATGCTGCTGTGCACACCCCGAGGCTTCTGCTGAAGGATACCATTGTTTGTTTTGAACCTAATGTATGTCTATCTGGTTAAGGTCAATAATCCCTGTCTCAGCTGGACCCACAGATCACTATCAGTGAACAATATTCGGCAGGCTGCAATGGTCCAGCACATTGGAATTATTTGTGTTTATCGAAAGTGACATTAGGATCTATACGTTTCAATAAACACATCATGTCTGTGCTTGTACGAAAGCAATATATCACAGTAGCTGCAATGACAAACATGTTAAGATCCAATCTTTCATTCTTGTGACATTGAAAATAGAAAATATCATGGATACAAATTCACATTAGGGTGTTAATGATTTGTATGTTGGTGTCTTTCAGTTCTGTGCGACCCTTGGCACCACATCATCCTGTGCTTTTGATCACATTATCGAGCTGGGGCCCATATGTAAGTCAACTTTAGCATCAGCACACGCTTGATTTTAGTTTTGTTTTACAACAGGAAAATGAATGTCAAGCCCTATTGGCTGTATTAGCTTTGATTTGAGAAAGGCCAGGATGCTTGGAAGGGAAAACCAAATCAAGAGGGTGTCAGGGTGTATGTAAGGATGTCCTGCAACCAAATATACTGCTTGAGGGTGTGTGATTGAGAAACAAACGTACAAAAAAAATATGTATTTAGTCAGCTTTCCAAATATTCAGTAGCCTATTAAGTTGCCTCAGAATTAATGATCCTCAATATGACCAAGGTAAAAGTAGATAACTTAAATTAATAGCTTGACGCGTTAAGAATATGTGTGTTTGTAGAAATCTATGAATATAGTTAGATTGACAGAAGTAATTATTGTATGGATGTTAATAGCCTCTCTGCTTGTGTCTGTTCCAGGTAATGAGGAAAATATGTGGATGCACATTGATGCAGCATATGCAGGGAGTGCATTCATCTGTCCTGAATTTAGGCCTTTGCTGAATGGCATTGAGGTGTGTAAAAACATGCAAGCCTTCATGTTCATACAGTGCATAAACACTATAACACAACAGAGTTTTGACATAGTTGGATTTTAACCTTGATCATCCCGATATGTGGAGGGCGGTTTTAATATGGTTTAAGCGCAGTCAAAAAGTGTGCTTCCACCTGCATGGATACATGATGCTGCTGATTGACAAGACAACCTATTTCTGTTAAATTGGTTGTGAAATATCTCTCATAGCATCTATGAAAGGAAACACTAACTGCATACGGAGTATATCCAGCTGCTTTATTTCAGTTTGAAAATGGCATAACGTTAATGTCAAGGAGAAAGCATGCAAGAGCGAGTAATAGCCGAACAATTTCCATTAGCGCAGGAGCATCAATCTGCCTTTTGAGGCTGCCGAGGCAGCTGTTGCTCCCTGAGCTGTGCAGAGACGCAGAGATAAGAACAGAGTAATTTCCTGAGGCAGCGTTGGACCTTTATATATATCTCACTGTTTATTAGACACACAATGTTGGTGGGGAGACAGAGAAAACAGATTTGACTGTAAAATGACCAACTTTTGTTTCATCTAAAGTCAGGTATTGGATATGAACGGTGACACATTTTGCTCTCATAATCTTGCAATTTTTGCAATTTGTAGTATCTTTTAATGCAATGTGAATTTGATATTCAGGGTCATTCTTGAAGGAAGTAGAGAGTGGATTGCTAAATTCACAAGTATTTAAACCACATGCAGATAAAGTTAGTATAATCCATATACCGTAGATGTAGTGTATAATTCTGGCGCATTAACGGGTCAAAAGAAAGAACCCAGTCTTTTAGGACAACGGTGCAGCCCTGCTGAAGGGTTGGTTGCTAGGATATGGGTGATGGGCGAGCAGGCAACCAGCCCCCTTTAAATCAGTCAGCTTGGCAACTGTCAGCCAGCGTCTGTCTCACATTGTCTCTCTACGCTGTGTTATTGCATTTGTGGAGGTAGAAAAAAAGGATATTACACGAGATAGCCAACAAACGGATGAGAACAGATTAGGAAAGGTTTGTCTCCCTTTGAATAAACCCTGCCAGGAAAGGGTTATTTTCCGTGTGCTCTGTGAGCTGTTGGCTGGATGTCCCTCTTTTGCATTTCAAATAAATCATGCCTGCTTTAGTCCAGATAATGCTGTTGGTGAAAAGGTTGTCTCTGCATCAGTAATGGTAAATTAAGATGTATTATTGGGTGTGTTTTGGCCAAAATACATTTCTCAAGTTGTGCTGATGTAACATAAGAAAATATTAGAACTCGTGTGACCAATTATTCCATTTCATTATCCTCTGCGCAACTTCTTTGATCTTGCTCAAAATATGTGGCAGCATATGCAGACTTCACTGAAAGCCACTGATGTTTTGTGTTCATTTTCATTATATAATAATACCTTTCATTCTAGATAATGAATTATTGTTTCTTTTAAAGTTTGCAGACTCTTTCAACTTCAATGCCCACAAATGGCTTTTAATCAACTTTGACTGCTCTACAATGTGGTAAGTTATGCATGTCAATGTACTGTGCGAGACAGAAGTGGTTGTTTAAGATTCAGTGCCCTATAGGCAAACTCTCAGTCAAGCGCCAAAACATGTGACACTATAGACAGAGTTGACATGTAAAATATCAAAAAAAATCAGGTGTGTCTAAATCATGAAAATGTATCACATTCGAAAAGTCCAAAAAAACACGGCTGCTTTTTTCAGCTGTTTATCAGTCAAACTGGTAGTGCAGGTAGCTAGAAATGTTTGACATCTGTTTGTTTTTTCTTCATGAGTCATTAAAGGATTTAGAGAAGATTTAAGGAGCTTTTTACACACTGAAGTAGTATATAGTACTATAGTACTACAAGTGAATAGTATGTCAACGGGATGGCAGATCAACACTTTGTTTTGAAGGAAGACACAGATAAAGGAAACAGTAAAAGATCTTCAGGTCAGATGAGGTTAAACCTTTTTTACCTGCAGGTTTATGTCCATGGTATGTATACTGGAATGATGATTGAGTCAGTAACACCCCTTATGATAAGTTGGTATATGTTATATGTAACATAGACTTTATTTGCATGGCAGTAGTGTTCCACACTCAGACAGGGACTAATCAGGTTGGCAAACCTTCAGGGACTCAATTTATGTCAGATGTTTTGTGGTAATTTGATTAGATGCAATTATTTTGTGGTATAATACACCATTAAAGCACATCATTCCATGAAATGATAACGCCTCAAGGTTGGTCCTAAATTATTATCCTCTTCTACTCCTTCCGGACGCCGGCATCCTTGGACAACTTAACTGTCTTTTAGAGGCTGTAGCAGGCTCCGTTTTGGAGCAAGTGTGAAGGTGTTGGTATCATATTAAACTATAAAACCTAAAGAAGCCCTAAAGAAACCATTGGTTCCAACCATGTCATGACAGCTTGACGGGAAGGAGACTAAATAAAACTCCATAATTAGGCTAAATTGTAAGGGTCAATATTTACATGCTGCATTCTGCTCAATAATTTAATGTGTCATTAAATTACCTTAAGTACAGGTAGGGGCCCAAAGCTATTTCTTTCTCCTGGGGCCCCCTAGCAGGAAAGTCCAGTTATGGAGGAGAAAAGCAGTCCAGCTCAAGCAGAACAAACATCCTGGATGCTGTTCTCATATAACATAAGTCAACAACTTTGAAGTTGAACTAGTTTGATGGTCTTCATATGTTTTGCACTATACTTTTGACAGCTGTGCAGTAATTTATTCAAATTGTAGATAAAGATTTTAAAAACTCATGACATTTGAAATATAAACTGTTGTTTTACAACACAGTATACTACAACTGTCTAAAGTAGTTGAATTTAGCTCCACTCTTTGCTGCTTAACTTAAATGTATCAGTAGCTAGAAAGGTGCACTTAATATATATTTCACATCTCTGGCAGGTGTGTCTGCAACGGCTGTTGCTGTATTGTGTGATTGAATGACTACAACCCACAACTGCCTAATCCCCGTCTCGACACCAATGTCCTGTTAAACCCACTTCATTCATATTCAAGAACAAGTGGAAAAGAAGTTGTCGTGAAAGACACGCCATACAATTTTGCCAAAAACTAAATTGAGCCGTGCGTCTGCTTAGCTACACTCTTGATATGGTCCTTTCATTGGTCATGGGCACAGTACCAGCACCTGTCAAGAAATGATTTATTTTTCCTTCATGTTCTGATTGGAACCAGCAACTTTGTTCACAAAGTCCATATGGCCACGCTTGAAGATTACATATTATTGAATTATGCATGGTATTGAATAATTTATATTTATAATATTTTGTAATTTAATATTTACTAATTTGCCTCAGAGGCTTTCATGGTCCCATGAAGTAACAATGAGTAGTCTATTTAAATCTGATATCAATCTACACTACATTATTTGCACAGTTAAAATAGAGCTACGCCTCCCACATGCCCCTTTTGTCTGCAGCAAACAAGACATGCGCCGCAAAAGGAAACAGAAGTGTTTCAAACCTCAACATGTGGTGAAGGGAAAATGTCCTTTAACCATTTTTCCATCACCTCCCCACTTTATATATATATATATATATATATATCTATATATATCTAGATCTATATATATATATCTAGATATATATATATATCTAGATATATATATCTAGATATATATATCTATATATATATCTATATATATATCTAGATAGATATATATATATCTATATATC